AAATCAAACAAAACAAAACAACTCTAAAGGGGCATCCCAATTTCAGAGCTTCCTGTGGAGGGACATGGGTCTTTGCATCACAACCCAACTTCTCCTTCTGCCCATTCCTGCATATTTCCCATCCCTGTCACATGTGTTGTTGCCAAGTGCATTCCCTAATAAACTTCGAATCTAATCTCTGTCTCAGAGCCTGCTTCCCAGGCAATGCAATCTGTAGCAATAACTTACCCCACTTTGCAATATTTTAGAAAGCAATAAATAAGACATTGTAAGTAACGGTGCCTAGGACAACTCCAGGGACACGTTTATTGAAGGTTAGTCCTTTTGGCTCTTATGAAAAGTTTTCTATCACTTCTATCAAGGCTTTGTGCCCTCCTAGCTTGTATACATTTTGTGTTATAGGGAACTATTCTTTTTTTTTTTTAAGATTTTATTTATTTTTTTGAGAGAGAGAGGGAATGAGAGATAGAGCGCATGAGAGGGAAGAGGTTCAGAGGGAGAAGCAGACTCCCTGCTCAGCAGGGAGCCCGATGTGGGACTCGATCCCGGGACTCCAGGATCATGACCTGAGCTGAAGGCAGTCGTTTAACCAACTGAGCCACCCAGGAGCCCCTCTCTTTTTTTTTTTTTTTAAGATTTTATTTATTTATTCGACAGAGAGACAGCAAGAGAGGGAACACAAGCAGGGGGAGTGGGAGAGGGAGAAGCAGGCTTCCCGTGGAGCAGGGAGCCTGATGCGGGACTTGATCCCAGGACCCTGAGATCATGACCTGAACCGAAGGCAGACACTCAACAACTGAGCCACCCAGGCACCCCTATAGGGAACTATTCTTGCCTTGCTGACATTGTGCTCCTTTTTCCTGTGCTCTGCATTAACTTGCAAAATTTGCTCTTTAAGAGTATTTTCACTCAGGTCAAGGCCAACTTCATGGGTGCATAACCTGCGTAGCTGCATGAGACCCAGTTCTTAAAAGGGTCCCACACTTGGTTTAGTGTTGTGCAGTTGCTGTCTTCAAAATTCTTCATCAGTTTTGAACAAGGGCCTGGTGTTTTCATTTTGCACAAAGTATGTAACTGGTTCTGCCCTTGGCCACTTGCCTCCTTAGACATGATATAGGTCTTCTGGTCCTTGAAAGAACCTACCCTTGACATGTGGCCAAAGGCTTAATGACTTCATTGGTTAGATCTCTTTTGGCTCCAAGCATCTTTGCTTTACCTGTCCAGGTGAACACTCTCTGGTATAACTCACTTTCCTCACTTCTCTGCTTTCTGACAAAGTTCTTCTAGGGAGATAATCAACCATTACCTTCCCCAAGCCCTGCTAGGCCCAAGCTGGTGTCATTTACAGACCTATGCAGTAGGTTCTCAGTAAATGCTTATCATTGGTAAACTGACTTATTAGACTTCCATAAGAAATCATCTAAATCCTCTACTGTTTAAAGCAGTGATTCTGTTCATTCATTCAGTCACTCCCCAGTTATACTTACTTGGCTTGGACATAATTTGATTCTCTGCCCTAATTTATCTTTGTGATAGATGCTCAGTTACTCTCTCTACTACACTCATCTATCTGCTCAGAGTTTCTGGATCATTTCTTGTAATTATTTTTCATGTGCACCAGAGAACCTTCTGCAAATAGATGTTCATAGATGTTTGACAGTAGTGAATTGGTTTTGCTTTTGCTAATGCACAAAAGGAGGCTATGGTAGACTAGAAGGAACATAGACTTTGAAGTCAAAGGGGTCTGAATTGGATCTTGCCATTATGAGCTGACAAAGGCTCCATTTCCTCATCTGTAAAAAAGGGTAATTAGAAAGGCTTCCCTGTGTGATTGTTGTAAAGAATAAATGAGATAGTATATGCAGAAGAGACCCTTAATGTTCATCTCCCCTTCTCAATCTTCAAAAAAGCAAGGTTAGAGTCATTCATGCCGCACTGCTCTTGTAGATTTTTGTTCAGAACAAGATTCTGAACCATATATACACAAAGGCATAACTGATCATGGTCTAAGGAAACACCAAAAGGGGTGACAAGTCATTCCTTCACCATTAAATACTATGTTTGGCTTAATACTTAAGATATCTAATGTCCATTTCCCCACTAAAATAAAATCAATAAAAGTATAATTCAATGCATTAACCTACTCAACAAACATTAATGATCAATGATTCAACATTTTCTCCTCATTGCTAAACCTATAAAGAGTGCTAGGTATGGAGTTTGAACAAAACAGGACAGACAGATCTCTACTGCCGTGGAGTTTTACCAAGTTACCTTCAGGGAATACAATATAGAAGAGATCCTTGCACCAATGGAATGCAACTATTCAAGTAACAACAGGACATTAAAAATTGCTTATGTTAAATGCATAATGCTGAGATCTGCAGGATCACTGCCAAACCCCTATTTCTACTTTTTTAAATATGTAGAAATGCTACAGTGAAATATACTACATGCAAAATATTAGAAAATCATCATGACCATTTTCCTCTGATGTACCAACAAATATTTTGGAAGAGGGAAATAAAAAGACAAATTTTCTTTCAGATCAAATCAAAAAAAATTGAATAGATAAGTGTATACATTTTTTTTTCAAAGAATCTTCAAACTAATTTTGCAAACATCCTGATTTTGGCTACTAAATTCCCAACCATTCATTGGCTCTTGTATATCAGTATTCACAGGATCACATAATAAATATTGGGAGTCTGGATTCCAAATAAACACACTTGGATTTTTAAAAAGTGTTTAATGGATGTACTTTATTAAAATGGTGTTTTGAACACAGAGATATGATTTTAGTCTGTTCACAGTTACTCTAATACATACATTTAAAACAATGGTCAAAGCAGCAATTACATCAACTCACTAGGAAAAAGTACAAAGTACACCCAAGTAGCACTTTGGTTAAATTGTAAAACAGTGTACACAGGAGAACTTCAGCAGAAATTAAATTAACTTGGGACGTATTAAGCTGCTAAGTTTTGTACTGGAATCCAATGTACTAGATAAGTCATTCTTGGAGGGGGGAAGAACTCTATTGTTTCACAGCCCAGAATACTCAACTGACCATCAGTGGACCAGCTGAGCCACCTAACAACCAGTGGGAGCTGCCCAAGTCCATGGGTCTCATTCCAGATACCAAAAGCAACAGGGAAGTCATCAGAATTTGGCTTGCAAAGAAACGGCATTTTATTTCTGCTTAAGTCATCCAGGTAAGTGAATCTAGTAAGTACAATAAAATGTAATCCAACCAAAATTTTATGTCACTTTCCATGGATAAGAGTATGTGAAAAAACGAAATGCTAAATACAAATCCATGTTTGTATTTGACTGTTTGATGCTAAACTTTAACCATGCCTTCCCCCGCCTTGAAGCATTTTCCTATCATATTACCTTGAAATTAAATGCTTGTCCATTCTTAGAAACTAAATGTCCTGTCTGACATTGAGGAGTTAGCATAGACGTAAATCATTCTCTGCCAGTATTCTTAATAAAAAAAAAAAAAATCAAATTCCTCTTTGAAAAAATAATTTTTATTCAGATTATGTGCTAATTCTTCAAAGCAAGTAATTTCTTTCTAATTTTGGAACTTGAGAAAAGTTCACATTATAGAGTGCAGAGATTCAAAACTGTTTCCTTCAAAACAAATTTTTTTTTTCAGAAGAAAAATGCATAAGACTTTGAAGCACTTAAACACAAAAATCTACAACAAATAAACAGTTGATGGAGAGCAGGACAGCATTTACTTTTGAATATACTAGGTACTTAAGAACTTATACTTGTGAAAAATCACAATGATTTTAAGAATATTTTGCCAAGGGTGCCTGGGTGGCTCAGTCGTTAAGCGTCTGCCTTCGGCTCAGGTCATGATCCCAGGGCCCTGGGATCGAGTCCCGCATCAGGCTCTCTGCTCGGCAGGAAGCCTGCTTCTCCCTCTCCCACTCCCCCTGCTTGTGTTCCTGCTCTTGCTATCTCTCTCTGTCAAATAAATAAATAAAAATCTTTAAAAAAAAAAAAAAAAGAATATTTTGCCAAGTCAGTGTTGGCAAATAGTTTGGCAACACCTTTGATAAAGATGATTTATATACTACATATAAATGAAGGGTAAGTGTAAATTATAACGGATTTGGGTTTAATTACATTAATATATAATCTACACTATACGTACACCCACATGGTAACAGCCACATGGCAAATTCACAGTTATAGCTAAAAAACTATATTTAGAATAGTCCCTTTTTCCCCTACTATTTGCATATTCCTTGTAGGCTTATTATCTTTTGTGGATTACAATAACCTACAAATTATACTTCAACATTGTGGCTTAAAAAACAAACACCAATATGTTTTTATGCTTTAGTCAAAGTTGATTGATTTCGAGTTTTAAAAGCTTTTCAGGTGAAGCAGAGCAAAGTCCACCCCAAACCAAGGCCTAGACAACCCTACAGATTCCTCTTTGTTAAACCTGGCAATCTGCCTTAGTGCATCAGTGACTTTTGAGCTTGACAACATCCCTCCCACCCTGTGAAGAATTCAGATAAAAAATGAAACCTACATTTTCAGAATGTCATTTTGTGCTTCAGAGTTTTCATTTGCTTGTTAGTTTGGAAATTCTCCATACTCCTAAGTGAAGCTTCTATATGTAGGTTCTGGGACCCAAACATATGTCAGAAAGAGCAAGAAAGCTTTCCAGCTTTCTTAGCCTACCTTTGGTTCCTCACTTCCCAGACAATGAACAAGAGACTATTTTCTTTCCTGTAATATTTTTTACTTTCACTAAGCTTCCTTGGGAAAAAAAATTGAAATATTTCTTTTTTTTTTTAAAGATTTTATTTATTTATTTGACACAGAGAGAGAGACAGCGAGAGAGGGAACACAAGCAGCAGGAGCAGGAGCAGGAGAAGAAGGCTTCCCGCGGAGCAGGGAGCCCCATGGAGGGCTCGATCCCAGGACCCTGGGATCATGACCTGAGCCGAAGGCGGACTCTTAACGACTGAGCCACCCGGGTGCCCCGTGAAAATGAAATATTTCTTTGTCAATTTTTTTATCAAAGGAAAATTTCTGATTAATAAATGCAGGAAAACTCAAGATTCATATTCTTCCATTCCCCAAAAGATAAGAAAATGTGAATATTTATATCGGGCCATCTTCCTTCTAACAAACCTTTAAATAAAAACATAAAGACAGAAAACAAGTTGACCATGAAAACTGAGAGTGGAAGGTATACACCTCACCAACTTTATCTTCTTGGTTTCTTTTTTTGTTTGTTTCTACAACAAAACTCCATATCATTCTTAACACTCAGTATTTTCCTCACATCCTATTATTTTATTTGCAAATTACCATACAGCAATGTAGCTTCAACATGCTAGTCTGCTTCTGTGTATTCCACAGGAATTAGCCACCATAAAATATCTCCTACGGCCATTTTAAATTCACTTCCTCACCTGCCAATAACCGTTGGTTCTCTGCTATAAAACTGCCCTCTGTTTGTCAAGAGTCCTTGGGGATAAACATTATCAATAATTTAAAGCTAACTGGTGAAGGAGCTATGCAGGATTGTTCCCTTTAACTCTCTATTACTCCAAAATTTACATATGTACATACACCCACACATATAAGAAATTTACATTGTCTGCCAAAATAAACTGCAGATATAATTCCAAACACGCACGTAGAGATTCACATTTTAACAGCAAACGTACATGCAGATATAAAGAAGTATAGTTTTACATTCCTAAGTTACATTAGCAAGCTGAAATATAGAATAATGTTCTAGATTTATTGTTATGAATCATAGAAATAAGCGAAAAGGAGACATAAACCTCACACTATGCAGCATTGTCAGTCAGTGTGGTATTATTTTTACTGATGCATTATCCAACTTGCTTACTCTATACAAGAAGTGATATAAGCATACTATATACAATAACAAAACACAAAGTTAGAGATAACAAATGGAAACCTCATACAAAATACCTGATGCTGTCAGTATTTAAGTTTGTATAGCTTTGACCAAAAGACACAGCCTGTGCATATTTTTCTGATATAAAGGAGTAGTCTGTGTATCTGTATAGCATTCTTAGCTACAGAAAAAAGAAGAATGGAGACCAAGGGACACAGCTGAAATACGAAAGTGCATTGTTGTAAATACGCACATACTTTAGCAATGTCATATTATCTGAATTAATGTCTTATGCATTGTGAAATTTAATAGTAAGTGGTCCAGAATACAAAATATAGTCACACAGAACTCTGTTTTCACACTTACTCTTTGGTAGAACTATTAAAAACAAACTCTTGCAGCTAACACATTGCAGAGCTGTCAAAATACCTACTAATGTTGAAAAACCTGAAGGTGAGAATCCGTTCAAATGAATAAAGAACAAAAATGATCAAAAGAAACTCATAGCTGCCTAAGAGTTTTAAAAATTAGAAATGTAACACTCAGCAAGTGTGTGAAAACCACTTTTCATTTGCTCACTCAACTTCGAGACTCACAATAACTGAATTACACACATATTTATACTGAGTATGTACAGCTAAACATAAATATAACAGATATTTATGAAAAACTACAGTGTAAATGGTTAGGACATTTACACTGACTTACACTGACATTTACACTGTGTACTAATCTAGTGAGTCACAGAGTCACCCTGTGTCGGGTGACTTTTGAGTTTGATCTAGTAAGTTTCTTGACATACTTGGTGAAAAACTGTTTCACAGAAATTCGAAGTCCCAGCAAGCATTCAGGCCCATCGTCCACTGGAGGCAAAGCTTCTGCTGAATGAGAAGTTGATTTCAGAGTTCTTGTACTTTCCCCAGGCACCAAAAGGCACTACTACTGCAGTACTATTATCTTCAGTACCATATTGTATTGCCTGCAAGGTTTGGCAGAAGGAAGAAGAAAACATGAGAAATCAGAGTCCGTACAAAGAAAAATCACCATTCCTCTGGAAGGCTATAATCTCGTTCAAAATAGTTACTAACCCAGTTACTTCGCATTCATTCAACATGCATCAAGGTCCACACAGTTTATTAGATTGTACATAGAATAACAGAGGACCCCCCCCAAAAAACAACCATATTAACTATATTCCACTGTAGCAATTTTGGCAACAGAAATACCAGTGGACTAAGATCAAGATATGCTCTGGAAGAAGAAAATAAAGCATTTAGCACAGGGACTAATACAAGGTAAAAAGTAATAACCTAAGGAAATGAAAGTGTATAAGATATAACAACAATAAGGTTTATTATGCTCCCTACAAAATGGAAAAGTGGCATAAACTAAATTTCTACAGTAGGAGAACTGTAAATCAATTTTAAGAACTAATTCAAATAGCAAATGACAGGGCGTCTGGGTGACTCAGTCGGTCAAGCGTCTGCCTTCAGCTCAGGTCATGATCTCAGGGTCCTGGGATCGAGTCCCACATTGGGTTCCCTGCTCAGCGGGGAGCCTGCCTCTCCCTCTGCCACTCCCCCTGCTTGTGCTCTCTCTCAATCTATCTGTCAAGTAAATAAATAAAATCTTTTAAAAACACAAAACAAAACAAAAAACAAATAGCAAATGACATAGTCAGCATTGTAAGAAGTGTTCGGGATTATATTCAACAGCAAATGTATTTCAAAAGAATTAATAGCCTGAGGCCAAAACTGTGAGGGAAAAGGTTAATAAAAATATCTAATATAAAAAGCATTAAAATATTGGTACACCTGGGGGCGCCTGGGTGGCTCAGTTGGTTAAGCAACTGCCTTCGGCTCAGATCATGATCCTGGAGTCCCGGGATCAAGTCCCGCATCGGGCTCCCTGATCAGCAGGGAGTCTGCTTCTCCCTCTGACCCAACCCCCTCTCATGCTCTCTCTCTCTCTCTCAATCGCTCTCTCAAATAAATAAATAAAATCTTAAAAAAAAATATTGGTACACCTGGGTGGCTCAGTCATTAAGCGTCTGCCTTCGGCTCAGGTCATGATCCCAGGGTCCTGAGATAGAGCCCCACATCGGGCTCCTTGCTCAGTGGGGAGTCTGCTTCTGCGTGCTGCTCCCCCTGCTTGTGTTCCCTCTCTCTCTCTCTCTCTGACAAATAAATAAATAAAATCTTTTCAAAAAATTTTAAAAAAATAAAAAGCATCAAAATATAAAAAAGTTTTACAAATTGAAAGACCAAAAAAAAGTTCGCAACATCAAAGTACTAATATATTTAACATATAGGAAGTTGTTACAATAACCATGAAAAAGACAAATATGCCTATAAAAAAATGGGAAAACACTATACACAGACAAGAAATACAAGGGTCTAACGAACCTGTGCAAATGGTTAATTCCACCAACAAAGAAAAAAGATGCAAATTTAAAACACTAAAATTTGATTTTTTCTACCTATCAAACTGGCAAAAAACTATAAGCATTTGGAGAAACAAATTTTTATTTTTTATTTATTTTTTATTTTTTTAAGATTTTATTCATTTATTTGACAGAGAGAGACACAGTGAGAGAGGGAACAGAAGCAGGGGGAGCGGGAGAGGGAGAAGCAGGCTCTCTGCAGAGCAGGGAGCCCGAGATGTGGGACTCGACCCCAGGGCCCTGGGACCATGACCTGGGCCAAAGGCAGACGCTTAACGACTGAGCCACCCAGGAGCCCGAAACAGAATTTTTTTTTTTTTTAATTTTATTTATTTGACAGAGAGAGACACAGCTAGAGAAGGAACACAAGCAGGGGGAGTGGGAGAGGGAGAAGCAGGCTTCCCGCGGAGCAGGGAGCCCGATGAGGGGCTCGATCCCAGGACCCTGGGATCATGACCCGAGCCGAAGGCAGACGCTTAACGACTGAGCCACCCAGGCGCCCCCCGAAACATAAATTTTTAAACATGCTAGAGAGAAGTGTAACTTGGAATAGCATTTCTGGAGGGCAATTTGGCAAGCTTATTAAAAGTTTTAGAATAGGGAGCCTGGGTGGCTCAGTTGGTTAAGTGTCTGCCTTCAGCTCAGGTCATGATCCCGGGATCCTGGGATCGATTCCTACATCGGGCTCCCTGCTCAACGCGGAGCCTGTTTCTCCCTCTACCCTTCCCACCTGCTCATGAACTCTTTCTCTCTCCTTTTTAATATATAAATAAAACATTTTTTTAAAAAGTTTTAGAATACAGTGTATCCTTTTACCTAGCAATTTTCTAAAAACTTGACCTGAGAAAATAATATATGAAGGAAATAGACATGCACAAGTAGACACAGGAACGTTTATACAGTGCTCTCCCTCCCTATAATATGGAAAAGTGAACATAAACTAAATTTGCTGATTAGGGGAACCAGTAAAAGAATTATGGTACACAAATATAGCAGAATACCATGCAGTCATTAAAATATCATTGCCTGTGTGAATGAGAACACACATATCTAAGACAGGGAGGTGAAATGAGAAAAGAAGTGATCATCCACAGGATTGGGCCCATTTCTGTAATCTCATGAACACACATAGTAACCAAGGGAATACTTCATGCTTACGCATCTATTTTCAAACAAATAATGCTTTTTAAGTGAGGTCTTAAGTCTTAATTACAAATATTAGCACTTAAAAGTTTGGGCTAAATTTGCCTTCCCAGTTGCAAATGTAAAAATTGGGAAATGCAGAAGTAGCTGTTAAATTAAAGCATGACTCTAATGATCAGCGATGGCTATTAACTTCGAAGAGCTATCTCTTAGGTATCTTCAAAGATATAGATAATATCTAATATAATATTAAAGAGCACATGGAAATTTTACATTTTTACTGGGTATTCCCAATTTTATCTCTGAGAGACATACTCATACATAACATATCCATACATCTTTCTGAATTTTTTTTTCACATACCCTTTCTTTTTTTTTTTTTTAAGATTTTTATTTATTTGACAGAGAGAGACACAGCAAGAGAGGGGAACACAAGCAGGGGGAGTGGGAGAGGGAGAAGCAGGCTTCCCGCCGAGCAGGAAGCCCGATGTAGGGCTCGATCCCAGGACCCTGGGATCATGACCTGAGTTGAAGGCAAACGCTTAACGACTGAGCCACCCAGGCGCCCCTCACACACCCTTTCTTAAAAACCAGATGTGGACTATGCTATAGTGTTCCTATACCGGATATTTACTTGGAGCTGTCTAGTTTAATGGTCTAGTGGTTGAATCTGGGAGCTTGGCTGTCTGGGTTTGAAGCCTAGTTCTGCAACTTAAAAGTTTGTAATCTTGAATAAGTTAGTTAACTTCTCAGCCTCTGTGCCTCGGTTTTCCTCATCTGTGGAAAGGCGTAATACTAGCTATAACCTCAGAAGGTTATTGTGATGATTACATGAGTTAAATTATATGTGACTAGAAGAGTGTCTGGCACATAAGTGATACTACAATTAACTATTATTATAATTTCCTGTTGCTATTACTATCATATCAAGGTGTGTACAAATCCAAAAAATAAACATAGCACATTCCCTGGCACACAGGTTTTATTTAACTACTTGGGAGAATTGTAAACATTTTGTAAATTGGGAATATTATGGAGTCAAGTGTAAAATTCCTTGTAATACTGAAGGCTCAAACACAAGATTTCAAAGAAATCTCAAGCCCGTAGTAGCCCCTCCAGGCTGTACCAAGACCTGCACACCTGGGTGTTCTTCTCTTCACCCCCGACACCCACACCACCCTAAATCGGGACTTTTCTAGCAGAAGCTCTGCTCTGTCACCTGCTCAATCACTGCATGGGCTGCTTCATTGGGATCATGGCACTGATTGACAAAGTCACAGATCTCTTGACTATTCACCATGAAGTTAATTCCATCTGTAGTGAGGACCAGGAAGCTGTCATCGGCATGATGGAGCTGCAATCAGAACCAAATACACAGACTCAGCCTCTGAATAGTCTTCAAAATTCAAAGATTTTATCGGTTTGCTGAGTGGTCATCTGTGTTTAAAAGCTTAACGGTGAAAATGGAAGACCTAGATTTTGGGCAAAATTAGCAACATTTAGCATCAACCACCAAGAACGAACCCAACATGTCCTTAGTAACACCACAAAGGAAGAAGCTAGACAGCCAAATGATGAGAGGCAAGCACGCTGTAATGGTAGAGAGCACGGTCTCTGGAGCCAGGCTTCCTGGGTTTGAAATCTGCCTCTACTTTTTGGCTAGGCAAACATAGGTGAGTTCACCGATGCTCTGGATTTGTTTTCTCTGTAAAATGGGGTGGTAGTAGCTCTTCTGGACAGAGCCTGGCCCACAGTAAACCCTATGTAAGTATTTGTTAGACACAATGAATATAAGTGGGGTAGCTGTAAGACTGGAAATCATTCAATGAACAATCCCCTGCTGCCACCGTTGGGAGCCTCTATTACCTAGTACTAGATACCAGCACTTGCAGACAGGGAAGTGTCAGCTCACAACTGGGTGTGTGTTGAGGGTGTGTTGAGGGAAGTGTAGTGTAACTGGGGCACTGATAGGTAGCATGCAAAAGATGTCAGAGAAAGGCAGGAGGGCAATTATTTAGCTTGGTGCAAAAGGGAGGTAAAGGTCTGATTCCGAGTTGTGGTGACACTGGGTGATCAGGTGTCGGTGAGGAAGGGCACTAGAGCCATTTTACCAGGCAAATTCCAGCAAGCAGGGTAAAGCAAAAAACAGGCACTTCATCCTACACTAGGACAATATTTTATTTTATCTGAAAAGTTCATCTATCCTTTCATAAACTTTAAAAATCATGTTAGCTTTAATTAAGGCTTCTAAGAAAGCCTGTAGCTAGAAAAAATCCTGCTTTCATTCCTTGCATGCGTAGCAGCTGTTGCAGATTGTTACCTTAACCCTCTTTGTTTCTGGTTCTGCTATCACACCACTGGTTTTAAGATCCAAATCTCCAAGACTCCTTGTCATTGCAAGTCTGCCATTTACGTGAGGCTGTCCCAAACTATTCCAAGCCACAAAACCACCACATTTCTTGATCCTGGTCCAAAAAAAAAAGACTATGACATGATACCGAGGAAATGAAGGCACGGTTAAACTTAAGATGAAATCAGTTTAAAAGGCAAGGTTTCGGGGTGCCTGGGTGGCTCAGTCGGTTAGGCTTCTGCCTTCGGCTCAGGTCACGATCTCGGAGTCCTGGGATCAAGCCCCGAGTCGGGCTCCGTTTCTCCCTCTTCCTCTGCCCCTCCCCCCTTCCGAAGCATGCACTCTTTCTCTCTCTCTCAAAAAAATAAATAAAATCTTTAAAAAAATAAATAAAATGCAAGGTTTCATTTCTATCTTGAACTATATAAACAGCATCCTCATAGAACGATCAGTGGAGGTGGTACCTTTCTTTTTCATCTTTTCTTTCTGGAGTATGGTCAATGGTCAGCTTCATGGGTTTTCCTTTTCTACACAAAATAGCCCTGCTATCCCCAACACTGGCTACAACCAGTTCAATACCATCTCTCACGAGGGCTACTGTTGCAGTAGTCCCAGAGGTCAGAAGGGTTGCTGCAAACATTATGAAAAAGAGTATAAGTCAGTGACAAATGATTGGATATGGAATTTTTATTACAAAATAAAACACAGGCATGTTAAACTAATGCTGAAATGCATCATTCTAATCTAACTAGAGCTATGCAAATAAAATGCAAATGAACTATGTAAGTAAGAGCATGCAGAGAAAGAAGTATCTAATTCAGTAACAAGGCTCCATGCAAATAGAAAAAGTTGCTAACCTAATTTGGTAAAAAGTGCATCACTGTCTCCACATGGCCTCTATTCATATGAACTAGAGCTGACTTGAACTGATATTTATGACACCCTTGTGTGTACATCAGGTGTCAGTATTAAAAGTATTACATTTTAATTAGATTAGCTAAAATGACAGGATGACCTTTAGGTCTACTGAGCTCATTCAGGCAAGCTGACTCTTCTAAAATTTCTATGCACTCAGAAGGCTTTCTCTTCCATTTCTTCATTCCTATCCTATGACAGTATTATCAGTTAATAAGCTAAGCAAGGATGCCAAGGGCATATCATTTGCTCTTCAAGTGCTATATTTTATATTCTTTCCTTCTACAACTGTTTTATTTTTACAAATGTTCACCCAAAAAATCCTAAAATGGTTAAAGGTTCACATTCTTTTCTATTTATCTTTGTCCTCCCCAGACATGAAACAAAGTTACAGCCATTGTTATATTAGGAAAATATGGGGGATGGAGAATGAAGTTCATTCTAGTTTCCCAAATGCTTAATGTAGTTCACATTTAATTTTCTCTGAACAATAACAAAATTAAATGTCACTTGGCTTGAGGCTGCCACTATTCCCTTCATCCAGTGCAAACTGAATTTTTGCATCTTTCTTTCATTTACTAAAACCGCATCTATCTTCTTTACTATTTGTTAAAAATTTTGAAGGTGCATTGAGCCTTGCCAAAAGTGAGAATACTATGAAATTAAGGGCTACAAAGTAAAGCAAACTGGAAGAAACTGAAAAAGATAACTTATTTAAAGCAGGTATTGTCTTCAGTAACATGGTTCATTCTTTAAAGCATCTAAATAAAATATTCAGGTGATCATCCAAAGATGATTTCTTCTTTAAAGGTAGATTTAGGAAAAATGAAGTGCTACTGATTTGACTGAGGCTCAATCTTTCCAATTTTTTTTTCCCCAAAAAGACACTTTAAAAAATTTCATCAGTAATACATTTTGGAGGGATATATATAGATATAAAAATATATTTTCCAATTGGTATATTAAAATGCCTGCTTTAATCAGAAAAGTAAAATGAAAAAAACATTAATAAATCCTACTTAATCTTTTATATCCATGCTGAGTCTAATTTATTGAGAAATAGCATTTATAGTTGCACTATCTTCCCATTAATCTTTTGATTTTGGAACTGTTGTGCAAGGTAGTATCTCAGCAATGCTAAAACATATTACATATTTGTCATTGTATAACATAAATGTTTTAGCATAAGAATCAGTGATGTTCATATTACAAAAGTTAACTTTTGAGTTGCCCAAAACATTATATGGTGGAACGTTCACAGTTTAACCCCACTGTGACTTTTTCCAATGATAGGAAGCGCCAGGCAAGAGAGTACAGGCATTCACTCAGATGCTACCTGTCCAGGGAATTTAGTATTCCTCTCCTTTGCTTAAATGGTCAGCAGCAGCTTTTTTTAAAAGTGGTTTTAATTAGCTTCATCAAAAGAGTTAAAAATTCATAAACTAACACTTCCAAGTTTCGCTGTTCAGGATTCTATTGTCATTCATGGCCACCTCTGCCACCCAGGAATTTAAAAGAGCTTGAGTTTTAACCAACCCAACTTCACAGTTCCAAAATCCCAGGATTTATGGGAAAGTTTTCAAAACTAACTGTTGATTCTGGTTTGCTAAGCATCTAATAAATAAAGATTAAATAAGCATTTATTTCATTTAACATTTAACATGGAAGTAAAAATTCTCACTTTTTGCCCTAACAACATAAACTATAAAACTAAGACATCTTTCAATAAGGTCTTAACACTCACTGGACATTTCCTACTGCAAGTCATCTCAACTAATGGGGCAAAGAGGATGTGGGAACCTTCCAGTAGTCCAGGCTAGGAACCGCTGGACTCCTTCACCTGGGACAAAATTAAGCAGATCTCTCTTTCCACTGAAGCCCAGCATATAGTGTCCACGGGCTCCAGGTCTAGAGCTGCTGACCGGGCACAGTTCTCTGCCACAAATAACACGCACAGAGGCAAATAGGAAATTCACCCAGGAATTGTGCTCAAACATTACAAACCTGCAACACAGGGGAGGGCAGAGAAAAGAGCTGCAAAATAAGGGGAAGGTTTTTATTTTGGTGAAAATTTCACTAGCAAATTCCATAATATTCCAGGAGGTGCCGGATCAATGAATTCAGGATTCAGTTTGCCCAAAATTGATGGTATTTTGTAGTTGAATCCATTTTTTCATCACAGAGTAAAACTTCTTAGTTTCATAGCTTCCCATGGTTCGGAAAACTATATACAAATGCAGGCATACAAAACATATATGCAGTATACCACAGACACACATCTATACACGCATTCTCTCTCTTTCACATGCGCACACCACTCACACACACTTTAACAGTTAGTCCTGAGAAGTAAATCAATACCTCTAGGAGCGGGAAAAAAGGCACTGTCAATTTGATTGGTACCAATATCAGAATTGTCCCAATAACTAACGGGAAAATTCATGGGTACAGCAGTGAGTAATTTGTATCTGACACGCAGTACGTAGTTAGAAAGGATGTGCACTACAGTATACCACCAAATTACTGGGATTCAAATATATATTAAAAGAAATTAAAGCACCTCCTATACCAGATACAAGAAGTAACATATTTGTTAATGATGCTTAATGCATTTTTTTAATAGACTGATTAATCTAAATTGATTGTTTAAATATAGGCTAGTAAGGCTCTTGAGCTCTAGTGCATGTTTATAAGTTTATTGGATTCACAAAATGGGTATTTCTGCAGCTCTCTCCTTTCCCCAGTGTTGCAGGTCGACATATCAAAAGAAAAATGATCAAGTTTCTGAATGGCAACATAAGAGTAAAAGCTGTACTTTTCAAAGTATAACCCCCCGCCCCAGTAGTTATTGTTTACCATGTAAACAATAATATGTATAAACCAAAATGGTTTTCAATATTTATTAAACACAGGTGTTCCAGACATGTAGGACTCATGAACACCGAAATCCAAGTAATGAGCTGAAGCGGTAACAGCACAATTAGTATCTCTTCAATGTCGTCCCTATTGTTCTTTTCTTTTGGCTGCGCCCAATATAAGAAGACTCAAAAACACTGCCTTTCTAACACTGGTTGTTTCGTAGAGATCAGGTAATGTGAAGCGCATGGACGTTTCCGATGGAACTCACAATGCTGCCACCAACATCTCACGCCCTGAACATCAGAGCAAGTCTTCTCTTTTTGATCCATCTGTCTCTTGGGGAGCTTTGCTGCTTTCAAGCCTTAAGCAATCTAGAAACACTTGGAAGAGTTTATAGAATGTAAAGGATAGTAATCTCAGTTTTCTACCACCCCGTTTGTTTTAAGTGAGGTTTGTTCATAAACAGGAGAGTAATGGGATATCATTTGAATTTGCTGGCTGGTTTCATTAATTGTAAAAATACACAACTGGCATGAATTGAATACAAAAATATTTAAAGAGGATGATGAAATTAGCTTCATAAATAAGGGTAATTTCAAAATGTGTCAACAACAAATCAATAAAAATAGCCAACAATTTCGTAAGGGCAAGATTCTTGCTGTTTTTGGTAAGTGGCATTCTGATTTTCTTCTCCTCAAACCACCCCATTTTAAACTGAAATAGTAACTGTTTTAAATGCCAACAAGATAATTTGAAGCACTTTATGCAGATGTGACAGTTTTGGACTAAATTCTTGAAAAGGAAAATGTTTTATGTTCACTTTATTTTTTTCACTTTCTCTCAAGAAAGCTAATATAGTATAACTGAGGGGTATTCTTCCCATTTATACCCCAAATTCTACCATTACTGATTCATTCCTATGGTTTAACCAATCTCTTTTCAGGCTTCCCCTACCTAAAATTCAAATCCACACAGGAGTGATAACTCATTAAAACACATACATTATGGTAATAATTTGATTAAATCAGCTCTAGGATAATCAAAGAATAAATTGTAATAACTTTGGTGAGAAAGAATATGCATGGAGATGAGGTCAGTCCAAATCATTATTGAGTGCCTTCCAGAGTCTATACAGGGGGCTGAGTGCTGGAGATTCAAAATGAATAAGCATGGTGACTACCTTTAAGCCCCTCACTGAAAGGGTTCAAGGAGGGAAAATGGGACCGATGCTGATAGAAAAGGTTAAAAAAAAAACCACACACACAAAAAACCTGGAAAGGGCAAACTGCACTTACTTCACAGTTTTTTTTAACTGGCCTGGGTCCTACCTATAGCTATACCAAAAATAATATTATGCATTCTTATAATACTGATACGGCTTCAGTTCTTACTAAAAACAACAACAAAAAAAGTTTTTAATTTAAATAATAACTTTGAAATCTGAAACATGTTTTTTTAATCCACAAAAAAGTTAAACAACTTACAGCATCTATCTTCAGTGGCCTTAATATATTTGATAAAATAGGCCCCAAATATCAAAAGGCAATTTTTAGCAATGTTGAAAGCCTTGGCAACTTACTAAGAATAAATTTTAAAAGTTGTTCCCAAAATACTTATTTAAAAACACACACAGACCAAGCAATCTGTAAGAATACATACAAAACAAGATTTAAGAACAACAATGTCATAGTGCAGCCCTTTCTTTTGGTAGCACACTAGGTATGGTTCTGCCGTACTCCATTATACTTGTAAACAAATGGCCATTAAATGGAAAGTGAATTTTAGAATAGCTTATGAAAGTTCTGAGATCATTAGCTCAAGGTGTATGACAGACGAACTAAGTTAAATACAGTTTAAATTTATTATTAGAAATTAATTATATTTTTATGATTACTTTCTTTGTACAATTGTCTCTGAGTAAGGCACCTTTAGGAAGTTTCTTTTAAGGTGGGCCAGTTAAACAAATTTTTTCCCTAAGTTCAAAATTCCCTTGAATTATAATTTATTATTTAATAAAATGAAAGGGGTCCTCTCATATTTTAGGCCAAATCTCAGTTTTCAGCATTTTCATTGATTAGATCCTTTACCAAAGGGCTGACTGCACCCATGAAGGGTTAATGTTTTGACTGTTGGCCTGCACATTCCCCATGATAAACTTGAGTGTTTTCTTCTGACAGGTAGCTTCTACCTGTCTACAGGACAGCTGGGGAACACCACCGGCATTAGAGCCAATAAACACAATGGTGTGAGATACAGCCAACCTGGTTATGGATGAAACCAGAGCATGCTAATATTCAGAGTCATAAAAATGAAACTTGTTTGACTGTTCTCTTCTACCTCCTATATTTTACCCATTAGGAGCAAGAGCTCAATCTTATACTACAATTTACCTTCTCTCAACCTCTATTTTCAAAGGTGAGGAGCCAGCTGGAAGGAAAAAAGTCCAAAGGAATGAAGGAGAAGAGAAAATGGGCCGAATGATCTACAAACAAGAAAACAAATCCCTGAACAAAGAGAGTGGACTCTAATGCTTTTCCAAAAAGTATGATGACAGTAAGGTTCTCAAAAAAGGGCAGGAAAAATCTTGTAAGATGGTGAATAGAGCCATCCTAGTCATCTTCTATAATCCTCATCAGTAAACATGCCCGTGAGAGAGGCCACTGTGGGTGCCAGGAAAATCCCAGCCCTCACTCTGCAACTGGCCTTATCAGTGAAATGAGAATTTCCATCCCTATGCTCTCAACTGAAAATTGTGAAATGTTATTTCTGTGGTGCTTTGACTTCCTTTAAATAAAAAGATGAACCAAACACGGATTAATATTGCATGATTCACTTTCAAATCAGTTACGAGGTCTGTATGCATACATTTAAATGGTCTCTGCAGAAGTTTTTAAGATTACCTTTAGGAACAAAAGATTTGGGGGTCAGCTAACTAGAAAACACCAACTACATTTTTCTGAATGCTTTTGATAAATTTAGTCAAAATCAGAAACATTTTACTTTCAAAATTTAAGGACATACAATACGTAAATTTTAAAATTCAGCTGACATGTCCTTGTGTTTAACAAATAAAAACAAATGGGGCGCCTGGGTGGCTCAGTCGGTTAAGCGTCTGCCTTCGGCTCAGGTCATGATCCCGGGGTCCTGGGATCGAGCCCCACATCGGGCTCCCTGCTCGGCGGGGAGCCTGCTTCTCCCTCTGCCTCTGCCTGCCCGCCTGCCTACTTGTGCTCTCTCTCTCTCTCTCTCTCTGTCAAATAAATAAATAAAATCTTAAAAAAAACAAAACAAACAAACAAAAAAAAACAAATAAAAACAAAAATATCACTAGTTACCACAAAGCTGCAAGACCAAAGTCTTTTAGAAGTGGGAGAAAACATATCTTCCTTCTGAAGATTAAACAGAGTAGTGCATGTTACCCATTGTCTTTTTTTTTTTTTTAAGATTTTATTTATTTATTTGACAGAGAGAGACACAGTGAGAGAGGGAACACAAGCAGGGGGAATGGGAGAGGGAGAAGCAGGCTTCCCACCAAGCAGGGAGCCCGATGTGGGGCTCGATCCCAGGACCCTGGGATCATGACCTGAGCTGACGGCAGACGCTTAACGACTGAGCCACCCAGGCGCCCCCCATTGTCTTTTCTTATTTAGGACCAGTTAGCAATCTTCTTGTCTTAACAATTACTATGTGGCTAAATGAGATTACCCTATAGTCTATTTCAGTACTTACTCAACAGATTCATCTAAAAAACCCAAACAGTAAACCCTCCCATACTATGGACCTCCTGTCCACATAAAGAGCAAATTTAAAAATTTTTTAATCTTTTTAAAATTTAAATTCAATATCAGAACCATTTTAGAGCTTCAATTTTTGAAAAATGTATTTTTCATGTCCAATATATTTCATTTAAAAATGAGGTACTAACACTACACTGGATTCCAAACAGCATTTAAGGTTATTTCTTATATAAAATCACTTTCAATATAAGCATCCTCACAAATAAACTTGCATTCCCACCCCTAAAGGGCTTAAATTGTTTCCTTTCATTAGACATACCCCAATACCCTAAGGAATGTGATTGTTTTACTTACCATCAGCAGACAGGTGGGCATGCCTTGCAAAGGCTTTATCTATTTCTAGAAAAGCCAAGGTCAACAGAGTTTCCAAGTTCTTCTCCTTAGGAAGCAAATCCCTTTGTGGAGAGGAAAAGAGAGTCCCAAACAATCATTTTATAATAGGTTTCTCTTCTTCATCTAGGTCCCTCTGGCTAGCTGCTACTCCATACAATGGACCGCCATGGTTTGCCTTTCAGATGCTTAAAATCCACAGATTAACAATTCAAATTAGGAAATAACTAGACAAGGAGATAAGCCTTTAAGAACAATAAAATAAAAGTCCAAGTTTCCGTCCTTAAAGATTAATACTCTATCCACAACCCTGGGAGGTCAAAATTCCTTCAAATAAATGTACGCCACTAAGTTCAAAATATGAATAAATCAACTGATGAACAGCATGAATAACTACAGGAAGACCAGAAATAGTCATATGTTCTCCCCCTCTTTTAATTCAAGTCATATGATCCCCAAAATACGTTAGTAATTACTGCAGTAAATAAACTTTTTAAAGAGCTCCAAAACACCCTCATTAAATGCGTTCTCCCCATCCTACTGTCAATCATCTAAAGCCATTCATACCCCTTGAAAGAATTACCATTTATTGAAGTACTATATGCCCTGCACTGGAGTAAATGCTTTTCCTAATACATGAGATCCTGTACTATATAGCTTGATACGATCACAAATCAAAGTGTTGTTGATCCTGGTCAATGCTTTCACCAGGTGAGTTGTCAAAACATACACTGCGGAATGGTGGTAACTACCAGTAATAAAGGGCATGCTTAAGCCACTGCTTGTTCGTAAAACAACAGTATGGAACCAGTGAACATCATCTCGGCCCAAAGGTTAAAGTTTAAACATGAAGTATAAGGTAAACTGCAAAGTCAAGAGCGAAAAGTCATTGTACATACATGATGCATTTCTCCATGTGGGTGTGGCAGAAATCAGCAGCTGCAGGTCCGCCGTGCCCGTCGTACACGGCAAAGTACAGGACCTCATCTGTTAGCTGAGCGCTGTCAAATCGGTCTTCGTTCTCTTTCCGTTTGCCAATATGCGAGGCGCAGCCTACGTTTTCCAGGCTGATTTTGGGAATTGGCTTGCCGTACTTAATGCTGGGCGGCAGCAGAATGGGCTCATCGATGCGGTTATCCCAGATCCCAAAATTATCCCAAGTGGCCGGACGCCCACTACCATCCGGGTCAAACCGAGAACACCTAGCCTCTGAAGTGGAGCTGTGGCAGGCGGGCGTCAGCCGCTTGTCGTCCTGCAGTAGGCGGGAGCTTAGCAGCACTCTCCTTCTCACCTGGTTCCCACCACTTCTAACCAAAGTAATTAAGGCAGCTGTGGACATAACTCAACGCCAAAGGACTCAGGAATGAGGGAAAGGTCAATAGAACAATAATGGAATGTCTTCAAGAAAAATGATGTGACTGGGGAGAGAAAGAGAGAGATTCTGTCAGTAATTCCACATATAACTGATGTCATCATTAGATATTACCAAAACGTAAGGCCATAAAGAATGTGGCATCTAACAGCCTACTTCTAAGAATAGTGGATCAAAACCAAAACTGATTTACCTACTCCTTTCACAGTGTTTAAATTCTATAAAGATGTGACAATGTGTATATATCATATAGAACAAGTGTTTCTCAAACTTTAACCTACAGTCACCCGGGGAACTTGTTAAAAAGCAGATTCTGATTCAGTCTGCCTGGGGTGGAGCCTGAGATTCTGCGTTTCGAGCCAATTCCCTGGTGACAGCAAACTGCTGATCCAGCAGGCCCATATTTTGCATAGCAATAATATAAAATACGGGTGTAAATAAATATTCTTCCCTTCATTAACCCCATTGCTCTAAAGAAAGGGTCGGGGCAAATGTTGACAGTATCAAAGTCTCTTAAGGGAGAAAGAAATAAGAAAAGTAATTGGTTAATAGGACAGTTCTGTACTCAGAGGGCCCAAGTTTTAGCAAAGACACAATCTAGGATCTAAATTCTGTTTTAAGATTTGTCAACTTAATAACCTTCACATATTTCATTACTATGGTTAATGTAGAATGGTTCGTGCAAACACTCCCACAGGCACAAGGATGAGCCAGTTCCGATGTGTGTGATCACTGGATTAGGGGGCACCACCTTTGTGACTTATGAGCAACTGATCTATGCATTTACATTAACAGCTGCTGGTCTCCATCTACCCCAGCCCAGCAGCCCAGCCCTTGCGTGCCCTGCAGACTTAGGAGCTAGCGCCCGAGCCCAGACCACATTTCTTTGAAACTATTACTCTTGCACCCCCATTTCTGGACTCTGCCCCAAAGCTGAATCCTCCCCTGGGTGTTGTCAGGGGGAATTCCTACACCCCTGCAGGAAGGGCTGTGTTTCTGGCAGTTTTCCATATAAATTAGGTTCTAAGCAAAAATTCAACTCCACGGTACCTTGTTCTGTTGTTACTTTATGTATTAAAAACCAACTGGAAAAGATAGCATGTCAAGACTGATAATGCTGGTGGAGGGTATACAGGTATTATATTACTCTCAATTGCATGTTTGAATTATTTCATGATACAAAGTGGACTTGAAAAAATATCTCAGCAAAAGCCACATACACACACATACAAAGCCCAACTTGAGTGAACCCGTAAGTGAATGCATTGCAGATTTCAAATAAATCTTTGGAAATCAGTCTAGCTCTGTGTATGAACAGTAAATAAAACAGTAGAAAGAAAAGATGAAATTCCAAAGAACTCCCTTAGATATCTATGCAATGAAAAACATATGCGCCCTGCCTTCATAGAATTTAGTATAAAGAAGGCCTCCCAAAGAATTAATGTATCATGAAAGACTTAGGAGGCCATTCTTTCTTGGTCTTTTAGCTAATATCATGTATAAAAGATTGAAACTCACTTCTATGACAATATTAGGAGTGGAGGAGACATAGTATCTCTGGTTATCAAGTATGAAAGAGAAGCAACACATCAAATTACCAAAAAAAGGTGTTTATTCCTTTGCTTCTGTGATATTTTCATTGAGCAACAATAACTATGTTAAATAAAGGTAAGGACTTGTGAAGAAATTTCAAACTATAATACAGTCTACACTAGGGAACTAAGTACTGATTATTGATGGAGATAATTTACAGAGCAACTTTATACCATAAAGAAAAAAATAAAACTTTCAAGATACATTTATTAGAAACCATTAATATTTGAAGAGTGCACCAGAAATTAGTGAAGTATGATTCTTTCTTCTTTTAAACCTAGCTATAGCTGACAATACAACATTTTTTTAGTTTCAGGGGCACAATATAATGAGTCTGTTTTTGCATAAGCAAAGTACTATTCTTTTGGCTTCAATCTGAAATCATGAAGGCTATATTCAGCCTTGGGCCATTTTGCAGTCGTTCACCTACTTTAAACAAGAGTTCTAGAATTAGAAGCAAATAAATATTGAGTAAATTTTTTGCAGCTCTTTTAGGGCACTCTTTCTTCTCTCTCACTCTCTCCTCCAAAAAAAAAAAAAAACCCAACCAAATAAACAAAAAAACCCTCCAGAGCCACATTTTATTATTATTTTTTTAATTAACATATAATATATTATTTGTTTCAGGGGTTACAGGTCTGTGATTCATCCATCTTACACAATTCACAGTGTCAGAGCTGCATTTTTAGCAGGAAACAAATATCCATTGGAAACATTATTTAAGAATGAAATAAAATGGGGTATCTGGATGGCTCAGTCGGGTGAGCACTGGACTCTCGGTTTCGGCTCATTGTCCTGCTCTCATGGGTTGTGGGCTCCAGCCCCACCGTTGGGCTCTGTGCTCAGCCCAGAGTCTACTGGAGATTCTTTCCCCCTGGCCCCTTCCTCCTCACACTCCAGCTCTCTCTCTCTATCCCTGAAATAAATAAATAAATCTTAAAAAAAAAAAAGAATGAAATAAAATGCAAGTTGGACAGTTTCTTTAAAAGCCTCGCTGGACTAAAATCAATCATCAACCTGGCCTCCCTCCTCATTTATTATCTGCACAATCACCTCAGAAAGTAAGCAGAGTAGTCATAGGAAAACATTTACTTTAGGGAATACTTTTGGCCTAGATGAAATGTGAGCCAGATATATAGCTAAATTACAAAACTAGATCAGCACCACTTACGCAAGCAGGTGACTTTGTGTATTTCCAATGTAATATAACTAAATCGTATTAATCTCCACATTCTCTGGGGAAACAATTCAAAGAGGACCTGTGTTCCCAAGCTCAATAACTACTTTGAATTAAACCTGCACATCAAGAAAAGTTTCCTCCAGAGATTCAAGCTAGGAATCTAGTCATTACCTGCCCCCAGTTCTCCAAAATGCCCATAGATATGACTACACACTGACTAGCAGACAAGAGAGTGTAATTTATGACGTGGAGAAAAACCCCAAAGCCTGTGGGAGAAAAAATAACAACACATCAGTGTTCTTCATAACAAAAAGAGTGGAGAACAAACTGACAAACGCCTAGGAGATATTTTTATTATTTGTCAGTTCAGCAATTATAAATTGGCATGTGATCATTCTGCAAAAAAAAAAAAAAGTTTATTCAGGAATCCTTTATGTCAATATCTATCTCAGTCAGAAATCAAGGCTAGCTTTTTTTTTTTTTAAAGATTTTATTTATTTTTTGACACAGAGAGAGAGGGAACACAGGTAGAGGGAATGGGAGAGGGAGAAGCAGTCTTCCTGCTGAGCAGGGAGCCCGATGTGGGGCTCGATCCCAGGATCCTGGGACCATGACCTGAGCCGAAGGCAGACGCTTAATGACTGAGCCACCCAGGCACCCCAAGGCTAGCTTATTTTTATAAACCATTTTAACATTTATATTCACGCTTTGAAAGTAAAAGTCATCCAAAAGAGTCAAAGGGCAGAAGTAATTCTGCTTGAAAGTCATTTGAAGACAAAAATGGCAGAGCAAGAGTTAAATCAACTAAGAGCACAAGAACACATTACCAACACACCACATTCAACTAACAAAAATAAAATGCAGAAACTATGCTAAGCAAGAAAATAAAGATAAAGAACTTGGCTAGAATCCTAGTGACAGAACAGGTTATTTATATCAGCAATCTAAACTATATTGATAGTCATATACCAAAAGGAAAAAGAAAATGGACAATCTTCCTTCTAAACTTTTCCAAATCCCTTTTTATTTCCCAATCATAATAAAAATGCAGGACCCACAAATTTACTTTAATCACATGAATTTTTAAAAATATGTGAGTATGGGGTGCCTGGGTGGCTCAGTCGTTAAGCAGCTGCCTTCGGTCATAATCCCAGGGTCCTGGGATCGAGCCCCGCATCGGGCTCCCTGCTCAGCGGGAAGCCTGCTTCTCCCTCTCCCACTCCCCCTTCTTGTGTTCCTGCTCTCGCTGTCTCTGTCTCTGTCAAATAAATAAAATCTTTTAAAATAAAAAAAAGTGTGAGTATGCACACATATATATACACACACAGAAACCCCTATATATTCCACATACTGTCAATAAGTGAGTGCCTGAAAATATCTTTCTTTTTCATCATTTTCACACTGACTGTGACCAGGCCTTCTCCATCTTCTTCCTTAATGTTTTAACAGTTTAATATGATACTTGAAAGTCCTGACACAGAACTCTTGACCAGCGAAAAATGTTGGCACCTGGTTTAACAATTCTGACTAGCGGGAGGGATTCTCAGCAAAGAGGGTTAAATTGGGAGTAAGCTCATAGCCCACAAGAGTAAGCACAGATTCTGCATGAGGGCACTGCTGAAAACCCACATCCTGAGAGTAGGAAATCTCAGGTGAAATGCATCAGGAAGGGAAAAAAATGCATTTGGTTTGTAGTGAACTTTTGAAGTACATACTTGATTTAAAAATAAAAGGTGGTGAAGAAAAGCCACAATTTACAGCTACAAGATTGCTATGCCAATTTTGCATCTTCATACCACTCCCATTTTATAATCCCTCAATGGTTTAAATATCTCAGAGCTGTCCAAATTTATTTTTGGATAAGAGAGTCACTCACTGTCTCTGTCAGGAGGATACACTTGGGATTTGAGTTAAACTGTTGACTGCTGAAAGGTCAAAAGGGCAAATTTTTGTTGTAATTTTAAGTGCATGCCAAAATTATTCAGGCACTCTACGGTTCACTGCTACAGAAAACTTCTTAGATTGATCTCGCCAGCAAAAATATTTAAGAAAATATTCATATTTGCCCATTATAAAGCAGCACTCAGGTATCTTTACATCAGTAACTCCCGCAAAGAAAACAACAGATAATTTTAATATTCTCAAAGCAAATTTTTTTTTAAGATTATTTATTTATTTATTTATTTGACAGAGACAGAGATGGCCAGAGCAGGAACACAAGCAGCGGGAGTGGGAGAGGGAGAAGCAGGCTTCCTGCCGAGGAGGGAGCCCGATGCGGGACTTGATCCCAGGACCCTGGGATCGTGACCTGAGCCGAAGGCAGCTGCTTAACGACTGAGCACCCAGGCGCCCTCAAAGCAAATATTTCTTTATCAACTTTTTAAAAGACAACCAATGCATCCCAGTAAATTCAAATGGTATGGAAACCTCCCAAAAGTATTTCAGGAAATGTGGATTCCAGTATCTTATCAGTACTCTGCTGGGAGGAAGGGAAACAAATTTTAATAGTCTACATGAGGGAAAGAACAACAATAAAAACCCCAAATGAGTCCCCTTGGGTTTGATGTGAACATGTTTAGATGTGTGAATAGAGGAATGAAAGTCCTGAAAAGTATTCATTGTTCTATGTCCATAGATATCTTTTAAAACATCTTTGTTAATGTGGATACAACTCACAGACCACATTCCAAACCTGTACCTTTATACTTCTTTAAGGGTTTTCCTTGACATTCTACACTACATCAACAGCACCTCTCCCCTCTTAAGATTCTAGTCAAGGGAGGTGCCTGTGTCGATCATCAATAGAAAGTGACTCTGGTAGCAAGAAAAAAATCATTAGCAAGAACTCACTACTCAAAAATATAACTATTTTATTACCCAGTGGTGCATCTGTTCTCTTCCTCTAATACCATGACATCACTACTCTTCTTCAAGACCATTATAATCCGTCACTTGTCACTCATTCTGAAACCGGCGACAATCTCATTCTTGAGGATGGTGGAGGATGGGTGCAAAGGGCTTAAGAGGCCTTGCTGCACATTTTCAATATGAAGCTCAGGAAGGCCAGTGGAGCTTTAGGGACTCCAAATTCCCCGGCTATTTCCACCCGGAATCTCGTCTTTGTCGTCTCCTGCGAAATCTCTCATCTACACGAGCGGTTGCTAAAAAAAAAAACCATCACCAGCCACAAGGCCTCTCTTGGCAAAGCAAAACCCACACCCTCAGATAGACACCAACCAGGACTCTGCATCCTGCTCTATTCCTGTCCCCTGAAACGCTCGCCCTCGGACAGTTCAGGATCCCGGGCTGTCTCGCTGGCTGTGACAGATGAGTAGCCAGTGTGATAGACTGCAGGAAGCACACCCTCCCGCCCGCGCAGCACTGCAGATGGCTGGATTCCCTCCAGCACCTTCCGCCGCCCGGTCTCCGCCTCCCAACCACCCTCTCCCCGCACAGATCTCGGGTGTCGCCACGTCTCCCTCAATCCGGTTGCATCTGGGGCGGTGACGTCCGGGGTGCGAGCAGGACCACCCGGATCCTCCCTACTGAGAAATGCGAGCGGCCCCCGGCCTTTCCACCATCCAGTCCATGGTCCCTCCTGCCTTCCAACCCCGGCCCACTCCACTCGCAATGGTGACGCCCCCAGCCTGCAGTCAAGTTCAAGGCCGAGTGCGGGGGTCTCGGCGGGAAACGCCCACTGCCTGCAGCGCAGCCGGGGTGGGCCGCGACAGGACACGCTACTCATGACCTCCAAAGAGAAAAAAGCGGCGCACAGAGAACCCAGACGCTGACTGTGGGGCTGGGGGATTTAAACCTACATTTCCCCTTCCCTCCCTGACGAACTCTCCGTTTACTCTCCATTCCGCAGACCCTGAGCGCTGGCATGCGACCCTGCCTATAAATAATATCATAAACTGTTAGAAATAAATGAAGTGCACTCTCTAGGCTCTTACCTCGCGATGGTTACGTCCTGGAAATTTTCTAATTAGTCAACGGAGGGCGGGGAAGGGACTTTCCTGCTGGGTAAATAAGATTGCCTTCCCCGATATTTCTGGTTTCGGGAGCGAGCAGCTAGAACAGCCACTGGCTCTTCTGCTGGAAAATCTCGAGAATTTTTCGCCTGCAGTGAGCCAGATGGAGAGGGAAGTCTGTTCCCCCTGACTGACGGCAGCTCTGGCCAAACCGCGCTCGGAGAGGCGGGGCGTCGGCCTCCCAGGCCCTCGGTCGTAGCCAATCATAGAGCCCAACAGGAACGAGCCTCCCCGCAACTGCAGTTTGGTTTGGCTGACTTTTAGCAGCTCGCGGTAGAGGGACGTCGACCCGAGCCAGTAGCGGCTCGAGGTGACATCCCGCCCCCCCCCGAATGCCTTGCCGCTAGGGCCAATGAAGGGGCGCCTGAGAGGTGGGTGGGATCGAGAGATTGGGTAAATCGCCAGCCTGTCGAGGAGGGGTGTGTGTCCCTTGTGGCTAGGGGGCAGTCGTTATGACAACTAGGAAACTGAGAGCGAATACCAACACTTTGCCTGGGCAGAAGGGCTTGAAAGGCATCTGGTTTCACTGCTATTCTTTGGAAAACTCACAGTGCAATGTTCTTCGTGACTGAACAGGCATCTTGTGATCCCTTGGGAATGTCGATTCATTCGTTCGACAAGTATTTCTATGTTTATGGAGGACCTTTTGTATGCCAGACACTGTGCTAGGCATTGGCGCTGCAATCCTGACACAAATACACGTGATTTCTGCCTTCATGGAACTTACAGTCTTATGAGGAAAAGGGAGCAAACAAACAGGTAAACAAGCAAATGAAACAAGAATCACGTCAAGGACGGAAATAGACAAAGTGTGGATATAAAGAATAATAGGGGGTTGCCATTAGATAGGGAGGGTTGTTATAAGAGAACTTTATAAGATGCCATTTAATCGGAGACTTGAAGACTGAGAATGAAATCAGTCAGCCAAGGAACCTGTAAAGCGATGATTGTTCTGGGCAGAGAGTGGACAAAGGTCCTGAGGTGCGACAATTTGACATTTTGGAAGAACAGAAGAAGACCAGTATGGCTCTAGCACAGAGGGCGGGGGAGAGCAGCATGACATGAGATGAGTGAGGTAGACTGAGGCCAAACCACATACACAAGTCTTGGAGTTTGCTTTACGTTTTAAATGTAATGGGACTTTATTGAGGCATTTTAAGCAAGAAATAAAAGGATCTAGTTTAGACTTTACATCACTTTGGTTAATGTGTAGAGAGAACCAGTAGAATAGGCTATTGGGAAACTGGTGAGGAGACCGTCTCAGATTAAATTCAGGGTGGGAGATGACCTGGCTGAAGCCTATGGTGATATCACTGAAGGAAGGGAAAAGCAGAGAGACTGGAGATTTTAAAGGGAAATTATTAGCCTGTTTTGACATATCAAGTATCCTGCTCCTGGGACAACTGTTCTGGATCCAGTTCATTGACTACTCGATTTAGAGACTGATTCTCACACTGATGACCCACAAATTCTGGTAATGACATGGAGGATTATTATGCTGGGTTGAGATTCAATTTTCATGGGCTTCCTAGAATTTTCTTTCGTTAACTTTTTATTGAAGCATAATATATATGCAGAAAAGTACACACATTCTAAGCTGCATATACACCTCAATGACTTTTCACATTCCGAACACACCTTTGTATCCAACACAGAACAAGAAACAGAACATTATTAACACCCAGGAACTCCATCATGCCTTCCAGTCATTGCCTATCCTGAATGTCAACAACGCAGACTTAGTTTTGCCTGTCTTTGTATTTGACATATATAAAATCATAGAGTATGCATTCTTTTTTTTTAAAGATTTTATTTATTTATTCATGAGAGAGAGAGAGGCAGAGGGAGAAGCAGGCTCCCAAGGAGCAGGGAGCCCGATGCGGGACTCGATCCCAGGACCCTGGGATCATGACCTGAGCCGAAGGCAGACGCTTAACCATCTGAGCCACCCAGGTGCCCCATAGAGTATGCATTCTTTTGTGTTTGGCTTCTTTACTCAACTTTATACTTATGAGATTCTTCCATATTGTTGCATGTAGTTGTAGATCATTCATTTTATTCCATTCTGTGACTATATCACAATCTATAAATTCATTCTTTCGAAAGACATTAGAGTAGTTTCCAGTTTGGAGCTAGGACCCATAGTGCTACTATGTACATTCTAGTACATGTCTTGGCCTTTTATGTTGATGGAGCATTTTGGTGGCTGGGGTTTAAATACAATTAAGTTACTTTTTAAAAAAAAAAGATTTTATTCATTTATTTGACAGAGAGAATATAAGCAAGGGGAGCGGCAGACAGAGGGAGAGGGAGAAGGAGAAGCAGACTCCCCACTGAGCAGGGAGCCCGATGAAGGGCTCGATCCCAGAATCCTGGGATCATGACCTGAGCCAAAGGCAGACACTTAACCAACTGAGCCACCCAGGCACCCCAACAATTAAGTCACTTTTGACCGTTCATCAATAATGTAGTACCCTGTTTTGCAATATCTCAAATATTTGGACCAGATAATGAAGGACTTTGCTCTCACAAATGTCAACACTTTTGGCAACAACAAGAACTGTTGATGTGGGAAATTTTAAGTTTGGAAACCTAAAACATTTTGAATTATGCTTGGCATTTTGACCTTCTTTTTAAGTTCTTGAAAACTGCATGCCCAGCATTTGAGAACATCATGACCATGCTATATCCTCTTATTCTAATAGACTATAGCCCACAGTCATATGATAAACAAGATCAGTTAGATGGCCCTGAAGAATATGCATATGTTTGATGTTATTGTAGTCCTTGGAATTACATTTGAAAACCATACCACTGGGGCATCTTGGGTGACTCAGTCAGTTAAGCATCTGCCTCTGGCTCAAGTCATGATCCCAGGCTCCTAGGACTGAGCTCCCCATAGGACTCCTTGCTCAGGGGGAAGCCTGTTTCTCCCTCTCCCTCTGCCCCTCCCCCTGTTCATGCTCTCTCTCTTAAATAAATAAATAAATAAATAAATAAATAAATAAATAAATAAATAAA